GGCACAGAAACACACAAATACACACACGGGCATGCAGAGAAACATATGCGCTGACAGGCACAGAAACACAAAAAGCACACTTCTACGCAGAGAAGCACTGAGATGGATATACACAATCACCACAACACACAGAGAAATACAGAAATGCATTGATACAGAGAACTACACACTCCCCTATAACTACACAAACACCAAGCCAGACACCCAGAAAGACAAGCACAACGTCATGCCCTGCACACAGAGCACAGGCGCTGATAGGTGTTCTAGCTGCAGTGTGTGATAACAGGGCTGTTTGTGTCTGGGTCAGTAATCCTGCTCAGGGAGATGATGAGTGATTCATCATGAGTGTTTAAGAAGATAATATCCCCTAGCCTCATCCTCCCAGCATCTCCATCTCTGTCTCTCTCCCTCTCTGAATCTGCTCTGTCTGCCAATTTTTTTAAATTCAAGTTCAGAGCTTTATTGGTGTGATCGATGAATTAGAGCTTTTCAAAGCAGATACGATCAACACAAAATCTACAGACATTTACAGTACCATCATATTACTGGATTTTTACAGACATCAGATTAAACATTATTGAGAAAGGCTCACTGTCTGTTCCCCAGGCTGGGACAGGTCACACACTGTATTATTATTATTGAGAGACAGTGACACTGTTCCTCAGACTGGGACAGGAGATCACACACTGTATTATTATTGAGAGACAGGCTCACTGTTCCTCAGGCTGGGACAGGAGATCACATACTGGGCTACCAGCTCAGATGAGTTCCCTCCTCCCTCTCCCAGTAGGATTGGGAGCTGTTGTGATTCTGGCATGTATGGGAATCTATCACACGCATCTTGCTTTCTGTGCACTACAGTAAGTGCTCACTGCCTCTCGGTCTGAATGTTAGCCCTGCACACTGCCTGTTGCTGTCCTGTGAGAGAGGGGCACACAGGGCCTGAACACCTCTGGACCTTTGCTCTCCAGGAACTGTACTTTGTGCTTGTGTATAATCTGGGCAGGCCACAGGAGCACCTGGCAGAGGGTCTTGCTCAGATGGGGGTGCTTCTCTGCCCTGCCACAGGGGGGCGTGCTGCTGCTGATCTCCCGAGCCGTCGTGACTGCGCTGTGTGCGTGCTGTAGCAGGGATGGGCATGCTGTGTCCAGCCCAGATGAATGTCCAGCGTGTTTAAAGAGAAATCAATAAAGGTGATTGAGAACTGAATGCTGCTGCAGGTCCTGGCAGGGTGTTGGGTGTAACCCATCCTCACTTTCTATTCTTGCTCTTTTCTGTGTGCTTGAATGTTGCGGCAGGTCGTGTGCCTACAGTGCTCCTAACATTTCCGAACATTTTCCAGAGTCATTTTCATGGCTTGTCAAAGTTGAAGATTTTCAGTTTAATGAAAAAGTTACACTTTGAATCCAACAGTAAGATAATGGTGTGTCTGTTGTTACCAGAACTCGTTTTATTCAAAATAAAACTGTTTTATTCAAAGTAAAACTTTTTCACGTCAGAAAGCGTTCTGATATGATGAAAACCTGAGCTCACTTCTGCTCTACGCGTTTCCCCCCAGCACCTCTGACGTCTGTCGGAATCGGCAGTAGAAGCTCTGATGTCAGAGTCAGATATCTGTAACCGAGACCGGGGATTAAGGTCGCTGAGATCATGCTGACTGCGAGGGTTCAGTAGAGTCCCGATGCCAGATTAAGCGCTCAGAGATAAACAAAGCGACAGAGCGACAGCCATGCAGAGACTCTGCCACCAGGGGGCGACAGTCCGGCTCCAGGCAGAGGAGAGCAGCTGGGCGCTGGGTGTTCACGCCCTGGTCGCTCGGACACGGAGACGTGTCTACACTGAGGATTAACCCAGAACAGATCGCTCTTGTCAGATTGTATTGGAGCAATTTACCTTTTAAACGAAACTTAGCTTTTGGAATCACAGATCCATTTTGTATTTACAATGTGTATCGGAAACAGGCGCACGGTGCTGGCTGGTTTGCGAGTCCCCTGGTGACGGTGCAGATCGTGTTTGCCGACAGAAGCCCCAGCCCGGCGCGCAGCTCCGCCCCTCAGCCCCACCTGCGGACGGTGAGCAGGAAACATGGCCGCGGCGGGGACGCGCTCGGAAAGCGGGTCCGCAGACTGACCTCTCGGCCCGGAGCTGCGGGACAGGCGGAGCTGCTGTTGCGCGCTGGCGCTGTAGCTCCGGACGGCAGGGGCTCGCCGCCAGCCTGCGCTCGCCGACCGCCGCGGGTGAAGAAGCGCCGCCGTGAAGAAAACTCACAGCCGGCCCACGCACCGGACCGGACCGGTACCTCAGCCCGGAGACCTGGCCGGCGCCGCTCCAGCGGGGGATGAGCAGCAGGTGAGCGGGGCCGGGCTGTGTCGTGGGTGTCCGCGCTGTTCCCCAAAGAGTGACAGTCAGCTGACACGTAGCCGGGGAGCCCGAGAGGCGCAGAGCAGACGTGGAACCGAGAGCGTGAGAGAGAGGGGGAATCGTCACCTGTTCTGCGCCATTGTCTGGAGCCTCCTCTCCTGAGCCTGCGGGACTGCTGCTGATTCACGGGCTCTGTCACTCCGGCCGTGGCGCACACACACAC